CTCGAGATCAACTCCCTGGACAGGATCTTTGTCCACCATTTGTTTTCTTTGAAAACCTTCTGCTGGCTGGAGATGATAATCTTTTTGTGGTTTTTTAAAAATATTTTTTTATTAATTTGAGAGAGAAAGGGAGAGAGAGAGAGAGATAGAAACATCAATGATGAGAGAGAATCATTCATCAGCTGCCTCCTGCACATCCCCCCACTGGAGATCAAACCCACTACCTGTGCATGTGTTTCACTGGGGATCCTGGGCATGTTTCCTCACTGGGAATCGAACTGTGACCTTCTGGTTCACAGGTCGGTGCTCAACCACTGAGCCACACTGGCCAGGCAAGGTGAGCATCTTTATTCAACCCAGCGCATCTTTGATTTTCTACTTTCTCTCTCTAAGGTCCATTTAGAAAATGGCCACGTTTTTTTGTGTGTTTGTCTCTTTCTTGTGATAGCTTATCAGGTGCAGCTTGTGAGACACTTTGGATGTTTTGCTTAGAATTAACCTCTTCGATCAAGTCCACCATTCAATAGGTGTGCATTCTATCTTTTAAGTTACCGCAGGCGACAGTTTTACCAAATATTTGCCATTTCATAGTGTACAGGCAGCCTCTGCCTGCCAACCGATCCGAAAGCCAGTGCTACATAACTTAGTTTTCTCTTGTGGCAGCGCTCCATTTCTCCATACTGGTATCTGTATCCGTTATCTATTATCACAACCATGCAGTGTAACAACCCCGACACCTCAGTGGATGCAACAACATGCCTTTTCTGTTCCCACGTTGGGGATCAGCTGGTGTCAGCTGGGCCGCTCTGCTGATCTTGGCCGGCCCACTTCCCCGTCGGAGACTCAGCTGGCCGTGGCCTGGCTGTGCCCTGCCTTTACCGTGGCTCCCCAGCTCTGCTCCACGCACCTGTCCTCCTCCTCCTGGGACCAGAGGGCCAGCCCAGGCTTACCTTCTCACGGCAATGGATGACAGACGTGCAAGTGAGCAAATCCCAATGCACAAGCCCATTTCAAGCCATTACGGTGTCAGGTCTGCGCAGCGTACCATCAGCTGAATCTGATGCCATGATGGGTCCTGTTGTCTGAGGTCATGGCAGGTCATCCTGCCCCGGTCAGGAGAGCATGCCTGATGACATGTGACAGAGGCCATGGCTACAGGGAGAAATGGTAGGTGGGAGTTTGGGGGACATTTTTGTGGCCTTTAGCACATTAAGACGTTGACATAACTAATGCCCAACCAATCTTCAGAAATCTCCCCAACCTAAGTTAGAGGAGCTGAAGGATTCATTTTTGGAAACGGTTCAGAATCATTTTGATTTACATGGATAAACTTAGCATTTATTGTAGCCTCTTTAACTCGGTCCGGAAAAGTGTATTATCTAAAAATTTGAACGTGTTCCATTTATGTCTCCATGGAGTTTTCATTTCCTCTTTTTAAGTCAACGGCACTTATAACATTTTTTTTTACTTTTTTTTCTTTTATTATTATTAGTTAGGGTATTACAAATGTGTCCTCATCCCCCCCATTAACCCCCAACCTCCCCCCAAAATTAATTTATTTTATAACTTTTTATTTTGGAACACACTTCGATTTACAAGAGTCACAAAAGATAGAACAGAATTACCAATTATCCTTCACCCAACTTCCCTTGATATTACGCACACTCATGCTCCCATCCCCCTGTTGTCCATGTCCATTGGTTTGGCTTATATACATGTATACAAGTGCTTCGGTTGATCTCTTCCCCTTACCCCCGCCCTCCCCTACTTTCCTTCTGGGGATGGCACTTATAACATTTTACAAGTTGTAAAAGTAATAGGATTTTGTTTTACCCTTCCTTCGCTTTGATCAACTACGTTGTCAGTCATCTTAGGAGCAACTTAACCTCAAGAAAGATCTGTCCACTTAACTGTGTCTGTCATTTATTCATTCAACAACACCCATTAAGTCCCCACTGAGGATGAGGTAGTGGGCATTCCTCATTTAAGAAATAAATCTATGGTTAAAGGGGAATAAAGAAGAAGATGGCAAAGGGATTTAAACCTTTGACTTTCATGTCAAAAGTGTTGTTAAGCTCTGTGAGATTTGGTTATCTGTCTTTTCTGGGTTTCACCAGTGCTGATGCTTTAAAAAAAAAGGCAAAAAGATTGTCACTAATGTCAGCAGGGATGTAACGAAAACCCGGTAAGACATTCCGGAGCAGCGAGTCTTCCTCTGAGACCACAGACGCCTCCACCCACGGGGCCATGCGTGGACTTTAGGAAGTCCATGAAGTTGGGTGGGAAGACTTTACATCTTCATTTTCACTCGCCCGGACTGAAATTCAGTGCGTCCTTCAGTTACAGCGACTGGCAACCAGTCTGATCACAGTGCACGGGACTCGTTGCCGGTGGAAACCACAGGTCTTCCCACACCAGTGGCTGCCGGGAGATCAGAATTTCATCAGTGCTCTTCTCTGTCTAGAAAGGGTTGTAGTCACTGGACCTGCTGTTGGACCTTACTCTTTAATACATTGGTAAGCACATACATTGCCATACCACAGATTTTTTTTTCTTTTAATTTTTTTAATATATTTTATTAATTTTTTACAGAGAGGAAGGGAGAGAGATAGAGAGTTAGAAACATCGATGAGAGAGAAACATCGATCAGCTGCCTCCTGCACACCTCCCACTGGGGATGTGCCCGCAACCAAGATACATGCCCTTGACCGGAATCAAACCTGGGACCTTCAGTCCGCAGGCCGACGCTCTATCCACTGAGCCAAACCGGTTTCGGCTCTTTTAATTTTTAATAATTACTTCAATGTAATCGGTTTCTTTTGTATCCTTATTCATTTTCAGTTTACTTTGAATATTTAAGCATTATTCTGAGAAAGGGCCCATGGGTTTCACTGAACTGGGAAAAAAGGGTTGATGGTATGAAAAGGGGGTCAGCAAACTTTTTTGTAAAGGGCCAGATAGTAAATACTTTAGGCTTTGTGGGCCACACAGTCTCCATCACAGTCTCTCACCTGTGCCTTGCAAGTGACCATAAACAACACACAAACTAATGGGTGTGGCTGCATACCAATAAAACTTTATTTATAGCCCTACCTGGTGTGGCTCAATGGATAGAACGTCGGCCTGCAGACTAAAGGGTCCCAGGTTCGATTCTGGCAAAGGGCACATGCCTGGGTTGCAGGCTCGATCCCCAGTAGGGGGCGTGCAGGAGGCAACCAATCAATGATTCTCATCATTGATGTTTCTATCTCTCTCTCCCTCTCCCTTCCTCTCTAAAATCAATAAAATGTATTTTTTTAAAAACCCACTTTATTTACAAACCCAGGCTGTGAACCATAACTTGGCCATAGCTTACCATTCTAGAATTTAGTGTGCATGATCTTGGTGGCATTTAGTTACACAGAAAGCATTTTTTAGGTTTGGGCTTCACAATTTTCTTGAAGCTTGCTATTTCCCCTTCCTGTCATCTTTTTATCTGTCTATCTATCTATCTATTTATTTATTTATTATTGATTTCAGAGAGGAAGGGAGAGAGATAGAAACATGGATGAGAATCATTGATCGGCTGCCTCCTGCACGCCCCCTCCTGGGGATCGAGCCTGCAACCCAGGCATGTGCCCTGACTGGAATCAAACCTGGAACGCTCCAGTCTGCAGGCCGACGCTCTATCCACTGAGCCAAAACAGCCAAGGCTATTTTTTATTTTTATTTTTTATTGATTTCAGAGAGGGAGAGGGAGAGAGATAGAAACATCAATGATGAGAGAGAAGCATTGATTAGCTGCCCCCTGCATACCCTCTACTGGGGATTGAGCCCGCAATCCCAGGCATGTGCCCTTGACCAGAATCGAACCCAGAACCCTTCAGTCCGCAGACTGACGCTCTATCCACTGAGCCAAACTGGCTAGGGCCCTCCCTGTTGTCTTTAATTGCCTGCATTAAGCAGCTCATGGTGATGTGTTAGGCCTTACACCAAAAAGCAGGAACACAGGCTTAGTCTATTGAGCCTATGGCCCAAGACAGCGAACACTGGCCATAGGCACTGATGGTTGATTACCTGGCATCTAAGCATACCAGCCTGGGAGTCCAGGCCCTGCTACATGCTCCCGGGTGACTGTGAACAAGTTCTGTATGTAGTCTCTCTAGGCCTCAGTCTCCTCATGTGTACAATGGTGTGAATGATAATATTGCTAATGTACCTACCTCCTGGGACTGTCGGAGCATCCGATGAGACCATTCTTGTGGAGTGTTCAGCAGAGTGCCTGCCGTCCCGGAAGCAACCCTGAAGAATGTTAGCTGCTGTTTTGCCTAATTATACAATAATTGAAATGGGCGGGGCCACCAATGTGCCTAAGGTACACTGGACTTGGCACTCACAGACCAAATCCATTTGGAGTATCACGCCGTTCAGATGTTTGCCGTTTCACTTTCCCTGCTCATCTTTCAGCGAACATGAACTTAAAATTAAAGAGTAGAAAGTCAAGCGGCTGGATTTTATAACTCCACCAGCAAAGAACGCAGTTGGCAATGTGTGGGATAAAGTTTGCGCGATAAACACATCTCTATTAATGAGAACCTGCCTGAAGTATAAGCTGGCCATTTGAATCACGGTAAAAAGCGTATTCTGATGAGTGAGCACGGAGCTGACTGGTTCGAAGTGTGTCCTGCAATCTGTTACAACATGTAACTCGGTCACAATCCATGGATCACGCAGAATGGCACAACCCCGAACCAGAGCGGTCCCAGTAACTGTAGGCGCGATAGCTTGGTTGTTTCAAAGACTATGCTAAGGATATGCACACATCTTATTTTACTTGGGACAATTACAGAGCTCTTTCTAATCTCCGTTTTTCTCCTGGTTTGGAGACGGTGGTGGTGCACCACGCATGTGGTGGCGGCTTAGGTTTGGGGAAAGAAGAGAAGCCCCCCACCCCCACCCCCTTTTTTTTTCTCCCAGGGGCTGCTGGGAGCTGCGGTTGGAAGGTGTGTGCTTCGGGGGGATCCGCTGTGGTTGTTGCCTGCCTGTTCTCATGGAAACTCACCTTGTGTTGACAGGGGACGCCCCCTTCCAGTGCTGGCTCTGTAGCGCCAAGTTCAAAATCAGCTCGGACTTGAAAAGGCACATGATCGTGCACTCGGGGGAGAAGCCGTTCAAGTGCGAGTTCTGCAACGTCCGCTGCACCATGAAGGGAAACCTCAAGTCCCACATCCGCATCAAGCACAGCGGGAATAGCTTCAAGTGTCCGCACTGCGACTTCCTGGGGGACAGCAAAGCCACCCTGCGGAAGCACAGCCGGCTGCACCAGGCCGAGCACCCCGAGAAGTGCGCCGAGTGCAGCTACTCCTGCTCCAGCAAGGCGGCGCTGCGCATCCACGAGCGCATCCACTGCACCGACCGCCCCTTCAAGTGCAATTACTGCAGCTTCGACACCAAGCAGCCCAGCAACCTGAGCAAGCACATGAAGAAGTTCCACGCGGACAAGGTCAAGAGCGAGGCCTCGGAGCGGAAGGACACGGGCCGCCAGAGCAGCCGGCAGGTGGCCAGGCTGGACGCCAAGAAGACTTTCCACTGTGACATCTGCGAAGCCTCCTTCATGCGGGAGGACTCGCTGCGCAGCCACAAGAGGCAGCACAGTGAGTACAATGAGAACAAGAACTCGGACGTGACCGTCCTGCAGTTTCAGATCGACCCCAGCAAGCAGCCCGCCGCCGCGCCCCTCGCGGTGGGGCACCTCCAGGTCCCCCTCCAGCCCAGCCCCGTGCCCCCGTTCAGTGAGGGGAGAGTCAAAATCATTGTGGGCCATCAGGTGCCCCAGACAAACACCATCGTCCAGGCGGCGGCGGCCGCCGTGAACATCGTGCCGTCGGCCTTGGTGGCCCAGAACCCAGAGGAGCTGCCCGCCAACAGCCGGCTGCAGATCCTGCGCCAGGTCAATCTCATCGCCCCTCCCCAGCCCTCGGGGTGCCCCAGCGAGGTGGGTGCCATGACCCAGCCCGCTGTCCTGCTGACCACACATGACCAGACGGACGGAGCCACTCTGCACCAGACTCTCATCCCCGCGGCCCCGGGCGGCCCCCAGGAAGGCGCTGGCAACCAGACTTTTATCACCAGCTCCGGCATCACCTGCACCGACTTTGAAGGCCTTAACGCTCTGATTCAGGAGGGCACGGCCGAGGTGACTGTGGTGAGCGATGGGGGCCAGAACATCGCCGTGGCCACCACGGCCCCACCGATATTCTCCTCCTCCCAGCCGGACTTACCCAAGCAGACTTACTCTATCATTCAAGGAGGGGCCCACCCAGCGTTGCTCTGCCCAGCGGATTCCATACCAGATTAAAAAACAAAAGAAGGAAGGGGGAGCTTACATAAAGAGGGGGAGGGGGGGATGTGACAAGTCTTACATAGAATTCTGCAAGAGGTGTGCCCTTTATGTTTTAAAACATTATTGTGAAAACACACACACCCCTAATAAATTGTAATTTTATACTGCCCACTACAATCTTTAACGCTGTAATAACTTTGAGACCTCCTCTTGAATCGCAGTGTTGTCACTGTTGTAGAATCTTCAGTGTTACCGGGATAATTATGATTAGAGCTTGGAATTCAATGCATTGAGTAGTGAGTGCATTTGTCTCCAACCTGATTTCCCAACTCTAATAAAAGTTTTCTCCATCTCATTAAACTTGTGGAGTAGATGGTACTTCCCAGCCTCTCACGTGCCATTCTGAAATACCCCCAGAATACATGGCTACAAATCTATGGTAGGAAGGACCGTTTTCTACATTATGTTACATGGGTTTTTGACACCCCCCTCCAAAAAAAAGTTTAGTTCTAAAACAAAAAGGGAATGATTTTCTAATAAATTGACACATGATTAAAATATACTGAATGTTACTGATGTTGTAGTCACAGTATGATTTGGGGTTGAGGGGATGTGAATGAGCATATCATTAAAGAGAACTTGAACAAGCAAAGGTGTGTAGCCCTGGCTTATGAGTTTTATAGAAACGTCTTAACCAGCGGTTCTCAACCTGTGGCTCGCGACCCCTTTGGGGGTCGAACGACCCTTTCACAGGGGTCACCTAAGACCATCGGAAAACACATATATAATTATATATTGTTTTTGTGATTAATCACTATGCTTTAATTATGTTCAATTTGTAACAATGAAAATACATCCTGCATAGTATAAATACAGTATGTATAAATATTCATATACTTACATTACAATTCATAATAGTAGCAAAATTACAGTTATGAAGTAGCAACAAAAATAATTTTATGGTCGGGGGTCACCACAACATGAGGAGCTGTATTAAAGGGTCGCGGCATTAGGAAGGTTGAGAACCACTGGTCTTAAAGTCAAATATCTCTGGTACCTCAAGTGATTTGAGTGGAAATGCTGTTTGACCAGTAGGTGGCACCAGAGAGCAAGCTACGATTAAACCAAATACATGAACTAGGGGTCATAATATCTCAATTTCCAGCCTCTAGCATGATCTTCAACTCATGATGGGCTCTTAGTAAGTACTGAATGAATGAAGCATGCTCTCACAGAATGTCAGCAAGATTGTGAGTTAGGTTATTCTTGTGAGAGAAGTATATTTAAAATACAAGAACACTTACTTTTTTAAATCAAAGTTTTTACTACACACTTTTACTTCCCTAATACACAAACTTATTAAAGTTCTCATGCACATCAGCTTACTTTTACATAAAAGATATAAAGCAAACTAAAGAAATAACAAAATGGCAAAGCTGGAAACCTTGAGGCTTGTCCGTTGGAAATAGATACAGAGTTTGAATTGGGCTTTTCTTTCTTTGCTCCTTACTTGAACACAATGCTGATAATTCATTGTGTTTTCTTTGCCAGAATTTCTTTAGTTTCATATCAGCAATGGTAGTAATGATTCATTATTGTTTGATAAGAAATCGAAAAAGCTTGCAGCGTCCAGTGTTAGTATTTTAATAATATTATTGCTTGTGCAGCTTGAGGAAGCTCAGCTATTGAATTTTAGCAGGGAAACTTCCATTGTCATGAACCTGGTTTTTTTACTTCTATCTTTTTACCCAGAGTACCCCTTTTTTTCAGCTTTCAAAGATTTTTCCCCCAACTGTAAATGTAATGTGTATTCAAGATAGAAAGTATGAGTCTGGCCTGTGTGGCTCAGTTGGTTGAGTACTGGCCCATGTACCAAGTTTCAGGCTCAGTTCCCAGTAGGGGGCATGCAGGAGGCAGCTGATTGATGTTTCTATCTCCCTTCCTCTCTAAAAATCAATAAAATAAACATATTTTTTTAAAAAATACAGAAAGTATGGGAAACATTATCTAGAAAAATTAGTTACTAATCTTACTATCCAGATGTAAACATTGGGACCATTTTGATGAAGTTTCTCCTGATCTTTTTTTCCCTGCTTATGTCTCTGTTTTCTACTCCAATTACAGAGTTGATGTTGAATTGGTCATACTATTTCCTTTCTATGTACTATTTTTTTGTAATTGACTTTTCTTAGAAAAAGGGGGAGAGAGAGAAAAAAACATCAATGTGATAGCAAGACATGGATTGCCTGCCTCCTGCATGCCCCCTCAGCCAGCAACAAGCCCAAAACCCCAGCATGTGCTCTGAGAGGAAATCAAACCAACTCACTTTCGGTGCAGGAAAGAGAGGTGAGAGAAACATCGATGTGAGAAACATCAATAGGTTGTCCTCCGAATGTGCCCCGACTGGGTATCGAACCGGCAATCTTTCGCTGCACCCGCCAACACCCAACCAACGAAGCCACTGCAGCCAGGCCCGAACTTTATTTTTTAAGCAAAAATGAGGCTATGACCAAACCATGCTTTACTCAACCATCTTCTTCGTGATATTTAGGTTGTTTTTTGTTTTGTTTGCCATGACAATATCCACAGTAAAACATCCTACATAATTCCTCATACTCGGTTGTACTTTTGGAGTTTCAGTGCATTTCCATAGTTTGTACCTGTGTAGATTTCAAAATGGTAGTCTTATCTGGTCTGCGCCCAATTATCACCAACCCTGGGTGTTTTCCGGCCTTTGAAGTCTTGCTAATCTGATGAGAGATATGAGTCGTCTAGTCCTTGTGCGTTTACCAGCTGGTGTTTCGATCTGTATTTGTTTCTACATAGACTGTTTGATCATTTGCATTTTTCTCTCCTATGACCTTTAAACTCCTACACACTCATTCTTTTCCTTGGATTGTTGGGAACTCAAGGATTCGAACCCATGTCCATCAGATATGGCTGAGTTTTCTCCCCTCCCATGCTTTGTCTTTTGACTTTCCTTATGGTGTTGTTCCCATATAAAAATGACTATCCTTTTATGCAGTCGATTCTTCTGCTTAATTTGTGGCTCTTGTCTTTCCTATGAAGGCCCTCCCTCCCGAGATGTTTCTGGAATATTGTTATTGTTTGGCTTAGTTAGCACCTTGCTGCTGCCAGGATTCATATCTATACACTTTTGATGTAGGAGGTTGGTTGCCCTTGGGACGGAAATCTTAATTTCACCTTTAGATGAAGTACCCAAATGTACTTGGATCTATTTCTGGAATCTCTATTTTGTCCCATTGATCTTCATATCTTCTCTGGTTTGCCAACATCACATATTTGATTATGTTTGCATTAAGGTAAACCTTAATAGCTTTTGGATTTACAAAGACTCTGTAGATATTCTTTTCCAAAATTTTCTTAGCAATTCTTAGGTATTCATACTTCTAGATTAACTGTCACTTGTCCAGTACCTCCCCCCATCCAGAAAAAGAATACCCATTGAGGATTTTTATTAGAATTGCATCAATGTGATATATGAACTTAGGGAAAG